AACCTGACCCTAGATCTCTAGCTAATCTCTAACCGACCCCTGCTAGGAGTTTGAGTTATGAAATCAACTCAAAAGAGAACAAGGCTCCGTTTGGTTTGAAAAATTATTTTTTTTATTTTTATTTTTTAAAAAATAGTTTTTATTTTCTATTTTTTATTTTTTTAAAAATATATTTGATAAACGAAAATAAAAATTATTTTCTAACAAATCCAAAAATAAGGAAATAAATAAAATATTCAATGATATTATTATTAATGTTATCTAATTATAAATATAATATATATTTATTAATTAATGACATTAAGAGTGTTTAAATATGATAACTTGTAAAACATGAGAAAAAAAGTAATGTACATTCTTTGTTTTCACAATTGAAAATATATTTTTTTATTTTCATATTTCAACTCATTTTCTTTTTTATTTTTTAAGAACTTGTTTTCATTTTTAATTACCAAACATAGTTTCGCTCATATTTTTTATTTTTCAATAAAATAAAACAGAAAATTATTCTTGTTTTCTAAAACCAAACACTATGTAAGTTGCCTTGAGTTTACCCATCCCAACCTGCTACTCTTCACATTATACCTAATTAATATATATACATTATACCTAATTAATATATATATATCCACATTAATCTAGATATTAAGAACTTTATATTAGTTACTTTAAAAATATATTACTTTTCTCTATTTAAGCCAATAGGCATGCATTACCGGCTTCAATCTTTTCATGATCTCTAAATTGACATATGTTATATTTATTTTTATAACATTTCAAATATAAATTATTAATATAGTATTCAATCCTACAAAACAAATACAAGATTAGTCAATTAGTACATAATACAAATCCATTGGATTCTTTTTTTCCTGCTTAACTTTAACATGTTATAAAATAAGTATATCAAAATTAGTAAAATTTTTCCTTTTTCTCTTTCTCTGCCTAAGTAAATAGCAATCACATTTACCAATTTGCATAAAAATTTGAAATAAATTTAAGAATAAATTTATAAAATTTTTAGAAAATCCAAAAGCAAAAGCAACATTAAAAACATACAAGAATAGATTGAGTTTGTAAAACCATCTAATTTCCAAGAAATTAACTATTAGTGTGTTTCTTTGGCAAAAAAATCAAAAGAAATTGTTATAATAAAGTAAATACATGTAAAATTATAACTAAGGTTGAATTTAGAAAATCTTTGCACTAAAATATTCTTGGCAAAAAGATCCCAAGAAATTGTTAAAATAAAGCAAATGTATACAACACTTTATATTTCTCAAAAGTGGCCTCTCTCAAATTCTTTAGTTACTCGTGCTCTTTGGTTGTTGAAGCAAAATAGCTGCTGTTGGCCTGCTACCTCTGGTTGGGAAGGGGTACCGTTGGTTGGGAGTATGGATCACCGGATGGAGACTGGAGATTGAGAGAGGTAGAAAATTTTGTTGATGAAGCTCAAATGAGTAGAAAGATTTAGGAAAGGAAAATGGGTGATTGCTAGGAATCTAACATGGGTTTGAGAGAGAAAAGACAAGGGATAAGGCCATCACTTGGGTTGAGATCAGGAGAGTGAGAGATAGAGGAAGCAAAATGAGAAAAATAAATCAGACTTGAAAGAGAAAGATGCAGAGGAAGAAAGAGTCAAAGAGCAAATGAGAAAAAGATTTAACCGTAAGTAACAATATATATATATATATATATCAAAGGTACTATGAGAAATATATTATATCAAGTTGAAGAGGATGTCACCTAAATCTGTCTTTGATCCGATCCAATATTTGCAATGAAAAATTTGACCATATTCGATCCATCTTGAACTCAATTTAAAAAAAAAAAAAACTAGCCCCTATGTTGTTGTGTAAGGTCGAAACTTGATGGTTGTGGGTAATTCTGCCACCCCTATTTCCAACAGTCAAATTAGATCGCTGGCTAGCCTAATAGGTACTGTTAGTAGCTTTATCTCACTGTCAATAAAACTATTCGACCCATTTAAATCAACTTGACACTGATAACTATTTTGATCTAGTGTTCATTTAGATTGAAACACAACTCCTATTCGTCATGGTTGAAAGGTGTAATTGCACGACAAATTCATCTGGATAACGAGTGGCGGTGCGGTTGAAACATTTTCACTATGCTACACCATCAATTAGAAACCAGACTTTAAAGTTAGTAAAATGACGTATCAGCGACAGTTTTGTAACGACTTTTTACTTACAAATGTTATTAGTTTTCGTGTTTTTATAAAATTTCATACGTTTATTATCTAAACGCTATTAAATATTCAAATAACGATATTGTTACTTATAAACGTCATCCAAAATTTGATATTAATGGCGTTTCTCGACTAAAATGCATTGAATATTTTTTATTAAAAGTTTCAATGAATAGTTAAGGCATATTTTTGACAGACAATGCTTCAATAATAACGTCATAAAAAATTATATGAAATTAATGAAGGCGTTGTCTACAAGAAACGCCATTAATATTTAGATAAAAAATTTTCAGCTTATTAAATTTATTTTCTTTAAAAATTCATTCAATATTAAACTTAACAAATTCTTTGAATCGTACGGATGTTTACCATAAAGTTATTGGTTCGATCTGTCCTTTAACTTTTTTTTAGGTTTAGGTACAAATTATTTGTTATTAATTATTCTATATTTTTTCTTGGCATAAATACTTTCACCAATTGCTTTAAAAAAAATTCATAAATATTGGAGGCGTTTTTCATGAAGAGACGCCCTTAATAATCGATAGGAAAATATTAAGTCGATTTTTGAAGACGTTTTTTTGTCACACTCGCCTTCTATAATCCAATCAGTAAATTTTTTTTTTGGATTTTTAAAGGCAATTTTGTAAGAAACTCCTTCAATATTTCATAGACAAAATTTGGATGGGATGGTTGAAGGCATTTTTGACTTGAAACGCATTTAATATCCCCAACGATAAATTTTAATGGTCAATTATTGAAGGCGACTATATCCAAAAACGCCTTCATAAATATTTTGTTATGATTATTGAAGACGTTACTCGTAGAAAACATCCTTCATAATACATTCGATTAATTTTTAGTTGATTTTATTGAAGGTATTTTTTGCCAAAATACCTTTAATATTCCAGACAATAATTTTTAAAGAGATTATTGAAGGGATTTTGGTAAAAAATACCTTCAATGTTTTTGTTAAGGGCGATTGAAGGCATTTTCTTGCTAAAAACACTTTCATTAATCGCATCAAAAAAACATAATTAATACTTTATATGTGAAATCAGTTATAGGTTTATGCCCAAAAAAACATTTGCTATCAGTTGTATATTTATATCAAAAAAATATTTGATTTATATATCTGATACTATAAATTACATTTTAGATTTTACATAATGAACATTGTTGTGTTTTAAAAAATTGATCACACATCCGAAATTAAAATTGATAACGTTGTCATATTAATATATTTTTCTAAAATAATCGTATTTAGTATTATGCATAAGTACACATAATATATTCATATTAAGTATAACTTAATATTAAACCAATACCTCAATGTACAAACTTAAATTTTTTATTCAATATGACATGTTAAAAATATTAAACCAATACCTCCAATGTACAAACTTAAAATTTCTATTCAATATGATATGTTAAAAATATTATAACAAATTTGTAAGGTTCAATGGAGAGCAATCGTTGCTTTTTTCTGTAATTACCTTCTATTTGTTTATTTTATTTTATTTTATTTTAAAATTTTTTTATTTTAAAGTTTCAAATAATTTTTTTAAAGATCAAACTATTAATTATTAATTGTTTATTAAAAAATTTATTATTTGACATAAAAATAATTAAATAATTTTTTAATAAATTATTAATTTTATAGATATTAAATAACTTAATATTTTTAATAATTTTTTTACTATAATTAATCTTACTATCACAACTATTTTTATATCTAAACATATATTTTATCATTAATTTTAATTTTATCATTACAAAAATCAATTTCACCATTACAATAATTAATCTCATTTTTAACATTATTTTTTAATTTTATTAAAATTAATTTCACCATCTATTCAAATGTATTTCTAATCATCGAGAGACATTTCCTATAATTATTCTTTAACTTCTTCAATTTGAACAACTTCCAAATATTATATTTGATACGAGCCTTCTGAGGTCGTCAACAACTTTATCTAGACTTAAACCATCTACTGCGGTCATATTAATGGCCAATTGTTGTTGTCGCAAACTTTGTCATTGCCAAAATTGACATGGTAGAACTTTTTAGTGGATTCTCTCTACCTCATATTTGGGCAACAATGGAATTTAGATAAATCTGTAAAGGTAAAAGGTAAAAGAATCAACATCTCTATTCCATGAAACTCATAATAGACATTCTTTGATCAGAACTAGCTCGCTCCTTGTTTCGTTGGATGCAAACATCACAAAACTCTCTCAAGAAAAATAGGAGGAAGTGTAACGTAGCACAAAAAGGGTTAAGGATGGTCACTCTAATAAAGCAACTCACCAAGTGAAAATTCATTAGGTGGAATGCTTATCAACTAACACGCATAGAAAAGTAATTTCTTACAAAGATTCACTCCTTGGTGCCACCTATGGAGCTTACAAACAACATTTTTTGGAGCATGGGGATGATAAGATAGACACAGATGATGATGAGTCCCAGGAGCCAGAAGCAAATGAAAAGTCAGAGGAGATTTAACATTACCCTTTCCAAGGAAGAAAAAAAGAGAATCAGATCAAAATGGATCAATACACTGATTGTTAAAGTGTTTATGAAAACGTTAGTTACCAGTATTTGATTTTTAAGTTCAATCAGATTTGAAAAACCCAAGGTAAGTTTTACGCTATCAATCTTGAAAGTGATTTCTTTCTTATAAAGTTTCAAAACCTAAAAGATTGTGACTATGTCATTAAGGAATGACCATGGTCCGTGGAAGGGCGGTTTCTTGCCATTAAAAAATCGTCTCCAAACGTTAGAGCCTCTAAAGCATCCTTCTCATCTATGAGGGTTTGGGCAAGACTACTAGAGTTACCTCGAATATTATGATATTGAGATCTTAACAAAAAGTTGGTATGCGTATAAGGGGACTTCTCAAGGTTGATAACCACACCTTTTTTTTAGAAGAGAGGGAAATTCGCTCAATTATGTGTCCAAGTTAACTTGGACAAACCATTGAAGAGCTTTGTAAACGTGGAGGGAAGGAAACAATCCATTATTTATGAAGGAATTGGTTATTGTGTTTCCACTGTGGAAAGATAGGACATACGAAAGAGTTTTGTCTTGATAAACCAATATCCCACACAGTCCAATCCCAGGAAGGAAGGTTTGAGGCCACACAAACCAAGCAACCAGCAAATCTACAGGAAGAAAAAAAGAGATGGTAACGACTATAGGACCGTGGATGCTGGTACAGATGATAAAGGCTAGGAATAAAACTTGTCAACAACTACACTTAAAGCTAACCTACAGGAGACAGTCCTCATCTTCATGTTTAAGGATACTAGCCCCCCAAAAAAAACGTAATTACTCTTCATAAAAGAAAAATGTCGCTTTAGTATCTTCACAAGGGGCAGCCTTATTTTAAAGAAGTCAAAATCAATTGCTGACAGTCTGAATGAAAAAACAAAAGGGCAAGCTACCGATGGTCAATGCTAAACAAAGAACCGAAGTTCAAAAAAAAAATGGATTTTCATAATTCAAAAGGAAAGTGGTGTTGAGGAAACAACGAATAAGGATAGAAGCAATATTTTGAATATAACTATGAAAGTTAAGATAATTGTTGGCATGGGTAGGGAGTTGATGACGCACCTAAAAGTGATGTTTCGAGCCCCATGCAAGATAACATGCGGATTGATAGGACTTTACTTGGGGACGTAATCTCCCATGGTCTCAAATATATGCTGAAAGGGACCATACCCATCTTCACAAAACCTTCAGCAAACACAAACAAAAGTTCATGAAGAAGTAACAAGACACCATGTCCACCCCATGAAACAACCGTCATTTTCAGATAGTAGAGTTCAGAGGACTCAATGCTAGCTAACGGATGTGAATTTGCATGGACAGATGGTTGAGAAGGGAAAGAAGGCAGCAAGGAACTCCTAAGTTTTCACCACAAACTTCCTCAACTTCTCTTTTGGCCTATTTGGGGGTAAACCAGGACCCCCAACAACAAGCTTTGAACAAGATAGGATCAAAGAACGGTTACGTGGGTCAGTCTCTCTAAGGGAAGAAATTACTTTGAACATTGAGAAAGGAGAAAATGATGAAAACTTTATTATAATGACTTATGTTTTACAATGAGGCTTAAAGCTTATTTATACAGAGGTAAACTGTTATAAAATAAAAATACAATAAATAGAAATAATGACTAAATCAATTTCTATAATCACCTAATCAATATCAAATCAATATCTAATATTCTCTAAATTAATATCAAATCAATCTAGAATATTACCAAAACATTACTAGACTATCATTGACAACCCCCCACCCCGGAAACTTAAGACGGTAATGTAAAAGCCAACTTGAGTTTGAAAACTTGAACAAGAAATTGACCATGTGCATGTGAGTTGGTGAAGATATCTACTTTTTGATCAATACTAGTAACAGGAATAAGTCAAAAAGTTTGAGCAAACAAATGGTGATGAATGAAGTGACAGTCAATTTCAATATGTTTAGTACACTCATGAAAAATATTATTGTGAGCTATCTAAATGGCACTTTGATTGTTACAAAATATAAGAGTACTAGAGTGATAAGAAACACTCATATCTTGAAGTTGCCATCATAACCATAAAAGTTTTGAGGTGGCATCTGCAAGAGCTCAATACTCAATTTCAGTGCTAAAACGGGACACCACAAATTGTTTTTTACTTCACCAAGAAATAAGAAGAACCAAAAAAGAAATAGTAGCCTGTGGTAGAACGACAATCAGTAAGATCTCTTGCCCAATCAGTGTCACAATAACAATTCAAATCCAAAGAGGAACTAAAGGAAAAATATAAACCATGAAACATAGTACCCTTGACATATTGTAGGATTTGGAGGATAGCAGCAAAATGAGTAGATCGATGAGCAGACAAAAATTGACTAACTAGATGAACAGCATAGCAATATCTGAACGAGTAATTGTCAAGTATACGTGACTACCTACCAAAGTTTGATACAAAGATGGGTCTAGAAGTGGCATACCATCAGAAGGAGAAAGCTTCAAATTTTGTTTAAGTGGTAATGATGCAATCTTGCTATTAGTTAAACCTGCTTGAGCAATAAGATTAGAAGTATACTTTGTCTGAGACAAATGTAAACCAATAGAATCATTAGTGACTTCAACGCTAAAAAACATAACTCAAAGGACCAAGATCTTTCATCTCAAACTTAGAATGAAGAAAAGTCTTTAGATCTTTAATATCATTTGCATCATTACCCGTAATGATCATATCATCCACATAAAGCAAAAGAAAAGTAGTACCATTTTCAATAGTTCGAGTAAAAAGGGCAAAATCATGATTACTAGATGTAAAACCAAGTTGTGCAATAATGGTACTAAACTTCAAGAACCAAGCTCTAGGGGCTTGCTCAAGACCATATAAAGCACGTCAAAGATGACAAACCATGTTGGAAGGTATAGATGAACCAGAAGGTGCTTCATATAGACGTCCTTGATGAGATGACCATTCAAGAAGGCATTTTTAACATCTATTTGAAAGGTTGGCCACTTTCTAGCTACAGTAACATCTAATAATGAACGAACAGATATGAGACATGCAACTAGGGCAAAAGTCTCTTCATAGTCAATGTCATATTCTTATGTAAATCTTTGAGAAACAAGATGAGCTTTGTAGCATTTCACTAACCCATCAAATCTAGTCTTGATCTTGTAGACCCACTTACAATCAATCACTGACTTATTAGAAGGTCGTTCAACAATATCCTAAGTATGAGTTTTCTCAAGAGCCTGAAGCTCCTCTAACATTACTTGCTATCACATAAGATTAGAGATAGTTTCATGAAATTTTTGAGGTTCATGTAACGTGGCTAAAGCATAATAACAGTTGAAATCACAAAATTGAGTATTAGGTTCTCTTACTCGGGTGGAATGATGAAGTGGAGACAGTATGTATGGGAAAAGAACAACTGTATCAATAGAAACCTTAGTTAGATCAGACATAGTAAGAGTGGAAGAAGATGAATCACAGTTAAGGTCAGAAGTACTTATAATAGTCTCTTCATTTGAAGAAAAATCAAAAGATGAATCTATAAAAATACATGGAGAAAAACATTGTGAATGTAATAAAGACACACTAGTGAACTTTTCATGTTTCCAAAAAACTATATGTCTTGCGATACAAAGAGTTTTAAACACTAGATCTTAACACCTATACCCTTTGTGTTTAATACCATAACCTAAAAAACATCACAATCTAGTTCTAGGTTCAAGTTTAGTCTTTTCATGAGTAGGAAGTAGAACAAAGCAAATACATCTAAAAACTTTGAGAGAATGATAATCAGGTACCTTATTGTATAAACACTCATAAGGAGACCATGTGCCTAATACTAGTATAGGAACACAATTAATAGTTAATCAGCAGTGAGAGCAGCTTTACCTTAAAAATGTTCAAGAAGGACAGAGAAAATGAGAAAAGCACGAATTGTATTAAGAATATAATGATGTTTTCTTTTTGTTCGACCATTTTGTTGTGAAGTATATGGGCAAGACCTATAAGAAAGAGTCCCATCATCTTTTAAAAGTTACGAAACTTAATTTTTGTATATTCAATAGCTTTGTCAGACTTAAAAATTCTTATTTTTCTAAAAAATTGAGTTTGTATCATGTTATTGAATTCATAAAAATAGAAAAAAGTTCAGTATTTTGTTTGAATAAATATATCCAAATATAACGAGAGAAATCATCAATAAATATAACAAAGTAACGTGAACCTCTTAAGGTTAGTATGAGAGCTGGACCCTAAATATCAAAATGAACTAAATCAAAATGAACAGATGAGATAGAATCACTTTTATTAAAAGGTAAAGCACTTTGCTTTCCAAGTTAATAATAAAAATAATAAAAAATGTCATGAGAAACATTACCTAAGACACCAATGGAAGCAAGTGACTTTATTCAAGAAATAGATGCATATCCTAAACTAGAATACCATAAATCTAAAGAAACTGAAGTGTTTGATTGTTTGGAATGTAGCAACAGTAAGCAAATGTTGTGGAATTTTCAAAGTTTCAAGTTCAAATAATGTTCCAACCTTATGCCTTATCCCAACTTTCTGACCTGTTTGAGGATCCTACACAATACAACCATATCATAGTGAAAAATGCAAATCAAGACCAAGGTCACAAAGTTGGCCAACAGAAAGCAAATTTAAAGCAAGATTAGGAACAAGGTAAGTGTTAGATATATATAGTTTTGAGGTTTCAATATTACCAATGTGGCTAGCTTCTAAGATAGATCCATTTGCTATTTTAATGATTGGACCATTAGGTACAGGTATCTTGCTTTCAAGCAAAAAAAAGTCAGCAGTCATGATTTCTATAGGCAGTATCAAACAACTAAACATTAGCTGATATGGTAGTAGACATAGCAAGAACATGAGATTGAGAAAATACTTGATTGAACAAAGTTTAAAGATCAGTGACCGAGATAATAATGGTCTTAAAAAAAGACTCAAAAGTGATTAGTTCAGTGGTTATTATCGAAGCAATCTTGTTAGTGTAAAGATCATAAATTAGACTACCGTTATAATGATATTTAGCTCTACATTTCTGAACAGGATAATTAATCCTCCCACATCATGAACAAGACTTGTGAAAAGTAAAACTAGTACTTTTTTAAAGAGTAGCAGTAACAATAGTATCAACACTATGAGTCTGACTCATGCCTAACTAAGTTTTCTTAGATATCAATTCCATAAAAGCATTATCCATAGTTGGTAAGGGATGTTGATGCAAAAGTGAAGATCTGATATTCTCAAATTCATCTCGAAGTGCCATTAGAAATTGAATAAGACGAATTTGATTTTGATAAGTAACAAAATTACCAGCATCACTTTCATTTTTGAATTTTGGCTCAAAATTTTCAAGCATGTCTTATAAATGTTGCATTTTAGAATGAAAATCATTAATCGAGTCACTTGGTTCTTGACGAAGGCAAGATAAAGTGGTCAAAATATGATATTGATGAGTAAGGTAGAGAGTTGTACCATGTGGCAAAAAAATCTCAAGCATTTTTAGCAAGTTCAAATAGCCCAAAATGTAAATTGATAGAAAAAATAATTGTGTTGGTGAATCATGTCAGAATTATATGATTCTTACTTTCCCATTCCTCTAGTCGATCTGTAAATTCATCACCAGATTCTTTTTCTTTTCTTTCTGGTGCTTTGAGTTCTCCAGTAACAACAAGCTATAATTTCATTCCCTTTAGATAATTACACAGAGCCGTAGCCCACCTATTGTAGTTATTTCCATCAAGAATAATGACAATTGATTGTACATTTTCTTATTGAATACCTGTCATTAAACTCTTAAAAAAATGGAGATTTGAGAAGTTATGAGTATTGATATAAAAGATGAATCTTAAATATGGAAAGAGAAACCCAAAAATTTGAAGCACGAAAGTAAAAAAATGAAGTTTAGAAAAGAGAATAAACCAAGGATGAGAATAAGCAAATATTGATTATTCCAAGGTGATTCACTTTCGAAATGAACCATGAAATCGCTCTAATACCATAAAAGATGAGAAAATGATAAAAACTTTATTGTAATGACTTATGTTTTATAATAAGACTTAAAGCCTATTTATGCAGAGGTAAATTGTAATAAAATAGAAAATACAATAAATATAAATAATGACTAAATCAATTCCTATAATTACCTAATCAATATCAAATCAATATCTAATATTTTCTAAATTAATATCAAATCAATCTAGAATATTACTTGAATTTACTAGAATAATATCATCAATCTAGAATATTATCAAAATATTACCAGAATATTACTAGAATATCATTGATAAACATAAGGAAGGAAAATAGGACAACACCCATATAGCACCCACAAAGATTGTGGAACTTTCAACCATTATTGATTTCCTTTTTGCTTGTCTTGCCATTTCTTCATCAAAGCTCACACTTCTCCGATATGTTATCTTACCTAAATAGATAGGTCATAACAAACACATTATTGCCAACATAATGGTTGAACAATATTTCAACTTCCTCACTTTTAGAGAGAACCTTAGATATGCACGTAAAAAATAATTAAGTGTCAACTCTAATGATCAGGAAAATGATACATAAGTTCAAGATATATATCAATTCTCTAGTAATCCAAGGGGTAGAGTATTTATTACACAAGATAGAGACTATTCTGAGAATAGGTCAGAACATGGCATCAGATTGAAACATGGACAGGTCCACGAAGTTTACAATACCTAAACTCTTTGATACAATGTCATTGTCATTTGGAATTACAGAGGGGCTAGACATCTTGAGTTTGTAAGAATGTTTAGGGACTTGGTTAACCTTTACCAACCACAAATTATGGTTATCATTGAAACAAAAGATCAAGAAAAAGATGTTCGACACATAATCAATAAACTCCCTTTCAATACATGGAAAGGTATAGAGACCTATTGTTTTCAAGGAGGAATTGGATGCTATGAAGATTAGACTCGATCACAATGCACAAACTTTGCCAAATGAACAAGATATTCATGTAACTATGAATGTACTATCTTCTAACTTATCTTGGATTTTTTTTACTATTTATGCTAGTCCTAAGTTTATGGAAAGAACACTACAGGAGAATAAGTTTTTAGTGATTTTTTTTCACACTGTTAAATGATTTGCAATGTTTACCAAAAACACCATTAAGAGCATCGACTATTCTTGTGTCGAGAAAAATAATGACATTTTAGAAAAAAATACCGCTAACTTAGTGGCGTTTATGAGTACAAACACCACTAAAATTCCTCATTTAGCAGCATTTGTACTCCTAAATGCCACTAAAATTAGTAGCGTTTTTTTATACAAATATAGCTAAGTGAGAAAATTTAATGGTGTTTGTGCTCACAACTGCCGCTAAAAACGTCGCTAAATTTAGTGGTTTTTGTCACTTACAAACGTCGCTAAATTAAGAAATTTATTTTTTTATTTATTTCAATATTTATTATTGTAATTAAATAAAAAATAAATAAATATTTTTAAATTTATAAAAACGAATTTAAATTCATAAACTAAATATTATAAATATTTAAATATCTAAATACATAATTTGTTCCAGTATGTATGTAACACAAAGTTTAATACAATAACATTAAAATTGTTTTAGTACATTAACCAAAAATTTAAAATGTATAAAATTGATAACTGCTTAGACTTAAACATTGCCATTTGATGAAAGATTTTTTCCACCACGATCACTAGTGTGCTCAAGAACCTACTAAATAAAATAAAACAAATTTCTATACTTAATGATAAGTTATTTCTTATATTAAAAAATATAAATACTTACTAAATGTAAAATGCAACTAATCTTGCAAAACCAAAAACACAAAGCTACTATAAACAAATCACGACTTCATGAACAAAAACTAAATTTAAATGGCAACAAAGTACATGATGCAAAATTAAGACAAGTGAAGAATCAATGTAAGACCAAATTTGAACTTCAAATGTGAAGCAAAAAATGCAAAAATTCAAAATGCAAGTTGAAACCAAAAGTGAAAAAAATATAGAAATTGAATTTAAAGCTATAGATCTAGGTCTAAATGATGCAAAATTAATGAAGCATGAGCTGAAAATTAAAAGAACATGTAAAGAACTACAATAGAAACTAATTTAAAGATTAGAAACTGAAGAGAAATCACAACAAATTACTAAAACAAATCAAAACAGAAACTCAGCTGCATAAGAATTTTACTAATTCAAGGAGAGAAAAAGCCAGATCTAGAAACTTCAAGGAGAATGAGCTAGAACTGAGCTAAGATAAGATTCATCAACAAGTTTACCATAAAATTCAATAAAGAAACTGCACCAAATAACAAGAAATCCAGCTTATTGAACTAACAACTCAATCAGTACACAAATTAGGAAAAAAACAGAGCATGTTCAAAGAAATCTAACCAAATAGTAGGAAAATTCATGAAAATAAATGCAATCAATTAAAACTAACAAGTAAACATGTAAATCTAATAGTGTGAAATGAAAAAGAAGCAAACTAAATGCCAAGAAAGAGAGTCAATCCTTGCTAAGCTGTCACTGATGCAAAGAACTAATCTGTCAACTATGTTTAGGTGTGACTTTGAAGAATTTGCTATACTTGTTTGGATGGAATTTGAAGCTAATTTGTTCCAAAGTTAAAGATCTATGAGTTAGGAATCTAAAAAGCAAAAAAAATTGTCTCAAAACAAGCTAGAATTCATCAAGAACTAATCCAAAAACCACAAAGAGGTCAAAATCACAAATTTAAAAAAAAAAACTAATTTGTCAACTAAGTTTAGGTGTGACTTTGGAGAATTTTCTGTACTTGTATGGATGAAATTTGAAGCTAATTTTTTTTAGAATTAAAGATCTATGAGTTGAGAATCTAACAAAAAAATTTTGGCTTAAAACATGCTAGAATTTATCAAGAACTGATCTAAAAACCACAGAGGTCAAAACCATGAATTTAAAAAGAACTAATCTATCAACTGAGTTTAGGCATGACTTTCGAGAATTTTTTGTACTTGTGTGGATGGGATTTGAAGCTATATTTTTTATAGAATAAAAGATATATGAGTTAGGAATCTAACAAAAAAATTTTGGCTCAAAACAAGTTAGAATTCATCAAGAATTGATCCAAAAACTACAAAGAGGTCAAAACCACAAATTTCAAAAAGAACTAATCTGTCAACTGAGTCTAGGTGTAACTTTGAAGAATTTTTTGTACTTTTTTTTCATCTGTCATTTTTCAAACAATATCTTTTAGCCTAGTAGAGAGATTATTATAGAACTGTAAATTTAAGAAAGCAAAGTGTGAATTCAAGGTAATATAAAGCCAAGGGAGAAAAAATAAAACTCTGGTTTACTTCTAATTGTGGAACATCAATTTGACATGATTTGCATGGCTTTACATGATAAAGTGACCATGGTTATCAGCAAATTAGTAAATGAAATTATCCATTGCATTAACAGGACAGAGGCCTAGAATTTCTATTCAATAGTAGAGCATTTTTATGAGTAAACCACACAACAATCGGGTCTAATACCTTGTGAAATTCCAGGGTGTCTCTTCCAGACTTTTGAAGTTCAACCATGCAAAATGAATGAGCCACCTGAAAAATCTGAAAAGGAAAGAGGCAAGGTCAGGGATTATGGACCAAATCACCAATAACCATGTTCAAAAAACTTTTAATAAGGTGAAACTAAAATTATGCTCAAAAGGTGAAGACTGAAAAAGAGGTACCTTTATTGTAACAACTAAATGACTTTTGCGTCTAGTTCTTTCCCTTAGAAGCTTCATCTGAGATGGGTAAAAGAAAGGAAACCCATCAAAAATGAGAAAATTGTCCAAGATCTAGTTATTGAATTATAGTTAAAGTTCTAAAGAAATTATATATCATCTTGATTTAGTTACATATGAATCTTTCTGTTTCAGCCATCAAGACCCAAAGAAATAGAACTTTCAAGTGCTTAATGTGGATATGCAATACTCCAGTTCTATTAGAAAAAACTTGACACCAAAACAATCTTTACCATATGAGGATGGTGACAATCACCATCCAAAATTGAATCCAGTTTAATCAGTATATATCAAATAAGCATCAGTGCTTCACTGAGCAGGTAATATAGTTATTAATAAATGATTAAAAATCATGATAATGAAGCAAGAAGGATGAAACTTTGTTCACTTAAACAGTAACTGCAAATTAATTCATCTAAATTTCTTAAGAAGATTAAAAGTAGTCAAATGCATAAGTTGGGAAGAAATTAAACCTTGTAGTTGTTTTCTTCACATCAAAACCCAAGGGCATTGCAACTTTTTCTATTTTTGAAATCATCTCATTAGTAGAACATTTTGATATGAATCTTGTTTCTCATTTAAAAAATCCCTGTAATAAGAGGAAATTGCAACCACCTTAACTTTCAAGGTTATGTATTGTATAAGTATATGCGTACTTCCTAGAACTCACCGAAAACAGTGTAGAGCTCCCAGCCACTGCCAATTATGGAGAACATTTTCGAAAGCTAATCCCAAAATCACTCAAATTCAAAGCAAATTTTCAAATTCTGTTATGAGAGTGATTTTCAACTGAATGAGTTCCACTATCCTTTCTACCCTCCAAGATTCAGCCCAGACTGGATATTTGAGCAAGATGAAGAAGTCATAGCCATTTTCTTCATCAGCCTTCTTCACCGACTAGGGATCTTCTAGAAAAAAATGTCTAATATAAACGAAATAGGGGAAACAGATTTGATTTGAAAAAGAAAAAGAAAGGAAAATAAAAATAAAAGGCTTTAATCTACGTTTGTGATTTCGACGGAGGAAAGAAAATGAAAATGAAAATGAAAATAATTTGCATTTGTGATTTTGAGGGGAAATGAAAGAGAAAGTAATGTGTTGATGCGATTTAGGCGAAAATTTAGCAACGTTTGTTATTACAAACATCACTAAATGATGCTATATAGTGGCATTTGTAATAACAAATGCCCCTAAATGATATTAAATAGCGGCATTTGCAAAAATAAATGTTATTAAATTTGAATAAAATAATATGTTTCATTTTTTAAAAAAATTTAATTTAAACAATTTTAATAATTTCATTCATGGTGCTTTATCTTACAAACTCCACTAATTTAGTGGCGTTTGGCTTTTCAAACATTGTTAATTTCCTTGGTTAGTGACATTTTAACGAATAAACGCCATTAATTTGTATTAATTAGTGATATTTTATGTTATAAATGTCACTATATATATTTAATGGTGTTTATGTTAAAAACGTTGCTAACTTTGTAAAAGCATGGAACCTAAAGGCCTTTGTTGAGAAATGCTGTTAAAAAATTATCACTAAATACTCATTTTTTTGTAGTGGAAAAATATTACGGGATAATCTTAAAATGGTTACCTCTAAACATGACTTGCCTTAGCTCGTTGTGGGAGATTTCAATAAGGTGTTATTCGTAAATGACAAAAAAGAAGACTACATGTGGTTGGTAACAGGTTATGCAGTTACCATAATTGTTTAAGTGTTCATAATTTTCTAGATCTTAGTTTTAATGGACCAAAATTCATATGATCGAATTTGAAAAATGCTTAACTCCTAAGTTAAGAGAGAATTAACCATGAGTTTGCAAATCCAACTTCACAAAATGGCACCATTTTTTTATATTACTAGGTCTTGAACTTTATTTTGTAATTGAGCTTAAATTTTGTAATTAGATTTTAAACTCAAATTAAAAAGGTTCATAAATATTTTTTATTTTTTATTTTTTATTTTCAGTCTTTTGTTTTTTTCCTTTATTTTTATTTTTAGTACTTGGTCAAAGTCAAAACAAGAGGAAAAATCAAAATTTAAGAATGTTGGATATTTAAAATTGTGATTTAAAGGATTTGAAAATTAATTGTCAAGCTTGCGGTTGGAAATTTTTAAGCATAAACTAAGTTTGTGCAAAAGGAAATGAAATTTTTTAGTGTTTAAAATTAAATCTTGCTAGATTCAGTTGATTTAATGTTCTTTTATTGAATTTCGGTTTTGGATCCCTATATCAACACAAGTGAATTTCGATTTAGAGTCCATATATAAACACAAGAATTCACAAAACAATGTACAAAAAGAAATTAAGAGAAGACACAATAATTAGATAGCAATACATGACAAGCAAAAAGCAATCATAAGTAATTGAAAGGAATTCACAAAAAGCAAGTAAGAAGTAATTTTATTTTTTGATAGTTGGTTTCAGTTATCTAAGTTTTGGCTTTGTTTTGGAGTTTAAAATTTTGACTTTTAGAATTGGATTTGGGTTTTTTTTTTTTTTTTTTTTGGAGTTTACTAAATTTTTTTGAATTTATGGAAAAATTTTTTTTTTTTGGGTTTGTTGTATTTTTTGGCTAGTTCTTGAGTTTTTTAACAAGGATTGCAGTGGACGGAGGAATCTACGATGGCCCTTTTTTGGGTTTTACGATAGGTTTTTGGTTTTGGTTAAATCTTTCGACTACGTTTGAACGTCCTGTCATCTGCTTTTGAAAGTCTTGTTGGAATCTAGAAAAACTTGAGTTTATTAGTTATTGGCATCCTAAGTTCTAGAGAGAAGGCGAAGAAAAAGAATGAAAAAGGAGAGAGAGAAAGACAGAAGTGAAGAAAATTTTTTGACTTTTATAATGTCGAGAAATAATGCCATTTTGGGGAGCCTTGACTCGCCCCAACCCAATTGTCCCGCGTGTTGACCGAATCAATTTTATTGCAAGTTTCCCTTTTATTTTATTTTATTTTATAGTTTTTCTCTATTTTTATTATTTTTTCTTTTCTTATTTTAATTCTGTCTTCTTTAATTTCAATTTTGATTTAGTTGAAAAAAAAATAAGAAATTTGATGTGAATTTTGATATTGTTATTTTTATATTTGTAATGTTTTTGTATGATTATTTTGTAGATAAATAAAGGAATGTAAATAATTGTTTTTCATAAAATATTAAATAAATCAAATGATAAAGTCTTTTAAATAAACCATGAATTTTTTTAAAATATTTTTAAGATAAAAAAATTCTTTATGGTGAAAACTTAAATACCTTTTTTTAGGATTTAAATATTGAGATTAATTGATAAATGAGGAAAAAAAGGATCCTTGTAGTTAAGGTTTAAACAAGATAATATAAAACTAATTTTGTACCAATTTATGAGTATTTTGGGTGTGTTAAAACTTTTTCTACAAGTAATCATTTTTTGAATATAGTTTTGTTGATGGAGATCAAAATTTACTTTTTTTAAAGTTCTTTAGTTAAGTTTAAAATAATCTTAAAAATATATATATAAATTTACTTAGATGACCGATTGTACATAAATAAAAAATATTAATAACAACTTTATATTTTTTATGTCTAATAATTAGGTTTTTGGACCTCAAACGTTATGACAAAGTAAGGTCAGACTACCGTCCAATCCTTGTTAGCTTCAAAGGAAATCATCCATCCTTCGAAAACAAACCATACAAAGAATGTGGGTGTATCACCCTGATTTCACTAAGGTTCCGGATGCTCTTTGGTCTCTAACAAACGGTTCTTAGTACAAAGTATTGATTCCTTTACAAGTGATCTTCAAATCTGGAACAAAGAGACGTTTGGAAATGTTTTCAAGAAGAAAAAAAAAAGATCATGGCTAGTTTATATGGTACTGAAAAAGCTTTGACGATCAGACCAAACGATTTTCTGTTAAACCTCCGAAAAAAACATTAATTGGAGAATACCAGGATACTCTTAGGCAATAAGAGCTATTATGGGCTATGAAATCAATAGTTAATTGGATGGTAGAAGGTGAAAGAAATACAAGGTTTTTCCATCTAACTTTGTAATGAGATATAGAAACAAAATTGGAGGGAGTCAGGACACTAATGGGAACTGGATCACTCAAAAAGATGACGTGCAAAACATCATTATGGACTACTTCACAGTTTGTTTTCAACTTCGAAACACCAGGAATATAGAACCTGAGATCTTCATAACTTCATAACTTCAATTGGCCAGCGTTAACTGGTGAAGAAGAAAATCACTTACTGTCATTGGTCGTAGAAGTTGATATCCAGAAGGCACCATGGTCCCTTTAACCGTTCAAATCTGTAAAACCAGATGGATTGCACCTTTTCTTTTATTAAAAGTTCTAGCCTAAGGTGAAATACAAAGTGTGCGCTTCCATCAGTGAGACTTTAAGGAGAGGACAACTTCAGGAGGGTATGAATGTCACCTTGATTACCTTCATACCAAAGAAGCAGACACCCATGTCCATGTACCACACTACCACTTAAGACCTATCAGTCTTCTCAACACTACCTACAAAATTGTGACCAAGATTTTTCTTTAGAGATTGAGACCCTTCTGGAATAAGCTTATCTCCCCTCTATAAGGAAGCTTCATGCAAGGAAGACAAGTCGTTGATAGCGTCATTGTTGTACATGAAGTTATCCACTCAATGCAAAGGAGAAAAGGAAAATACGGGACGTGATTGTTAAGATTGACATGGAAAGGCGCTTACGACCTACTTGAATGAGGTTTTATAAAAAGGGTGCTTACTCACTTCAACTTTCCGAACCAATGGGATAAGCTAATCATGAATTACATCTCATCATCAAATCTTGCAATTGTGGTTAATGTAGGAAAACTCGAAAACTTTCGACCTACAAGAGGAATTCAGCGAGGAGATCCTTTATCTCCATGCATCTTCATTCTATGCATGGAGTACCTCAAATTTATGATCCAGGATGCTTGTGAAAAGAACAATGGTTCCTGGTTAGAGTTTCAAGGAGAGGGCCAAGTCTTTCACACCTGTTGTTCGCTGATGATATTTTTTTCTTCTCTAGAGCTAATAAGAAGTAGTCCACTAACACCATTCAACGGTGCTCGACTATTTCATGGCCAAATCGAGACAAAAAGTGAATCTGGGGAAGTGAAGAATACTTTTCTCTAAAAACATCAAAGATGAGTAAAAAGAATGGATTAGCAACTTTTTAAATATTAGAATTACTAATGATTTAGGGAAGTATTTTGGCTTTCTGATGCACAACAAAAGAGTAAAGAATTAAGACTAAAAACTCATTCTGGATAGAGTCAAATTAAAGCTTGCAGGTTGGAATTCAAATCTCCTTTCCCCAGTGGGTCGACTACTCCACAATGGCAGCTATTTCCATATTATATGCAATGTCGATTACTTCCGACTTCAAGTTGTGTGGAACTGGATAAGATCAATGGAAAGATTTTGTGGGGAGCAGGGGATAGCACAAAGAAAATGCATGGAATCAACTGGGCAGAAATGACTAAGTCAAAGGAGGATGCTGGCCTAGGATTAAGAAAGAGTAACCCCAGCAACCAAGCCTTGTTTACTAAATTATGCTAGTGAATGGTCCACAATCAGGATGACTTTTGGGTGAAGGTTCTTAGGAATAAATACCTCTACTTGAGAAGCAATGGTGTCAAAACAAGAATGTTTCAATAGTCTGGAGCAATTAGGAGCTGCAAATCCCTGATGGAAAAAGGTATGAAATGGGTCATGCAAAATGGTTCCCTTAGCCCATTTTGGTATGACAATTGGATTGGGCAAAGCTACATCAGGTCGATGATTGCAGGTCCTTTAAAACATGTGGAAGAAATGTATACTGTTAGACAGGTCAAGACGAGATGCGAAGCTACAGTTCAATCTCCTCTGTCTATCGCCCTCCCTGAAAAGATCATTAACCAAATCTTTAGATGGCCAGGACATGATGTGCTAGAATTATCCTAAGTCATGAGAGTTTACCCTGAGCAGTGCTTACAAGTTGGCCACAGATGTTTACCTTATACGTCCATGGAAGGAATGGAATCCTAGAATTTTTTATGGAAGCCTAAAGTTTACCTGAAATTTTGGTTCTTCGTATGGGAGTGTGCGCTCAAAATCCT